GGAGGCACACCCTGATCTGAGGTAACCACAATTAATCATATGATGTGGGCACTTGGAGGCTATATTTTTCTGCAGAAGGGGAGTGAACTCAAACACCCACAGTGTCACAGTGTCTGTCGTTCCCACTCCCTCCACTTGCCCCCAAACCTTCAACTCTCCTGTTCCAGAGCTGGGCATCCAGACACTCTCAAGAGAAACAAGTAAATGAAAAGGAGAAGTGCTGGCAAACTACGTCACCATCTGGTGTTACACAGTATGTTGTGAAAACTTCTGCTCGGTTATCAGGAAAGTGGCTAGGAGGGAAGTGGGGGGTGTCTGCTGAGATGGGATCAGCTGCTTGGGCCAAGGCAGGGCTCAGATACTCTCTCTCATCACATGCTCTGCAACCAGGAGAGGACACAGGGTTAGAACACAGGGACGCTCACCTTCACAGCCTCCCGCCATCCTGAGGAAGGTCTGCAGGATAGAGCAGAGCTGCGCCTTCACTTCATGAGCCTTTCTAGAATAGGCGAGATATATGCACACAGCCTGGTATTTGATAGGGCTCAGCACATACGTGTTAAATTAAACCCCAGACGATTCAGTTCAGGACTGGGCTAACTTGCTTTATTGATAGGTTATGGAACTGCCTTATTTAACTTTCACCAGAACCTTGTGAGAGTCAGAAAGGTTAGGAAATTGCTCAAGGTCACAGGGCGAGTAAGTTGAGGAGTCAGGATTTGAACGCAGATCTTCTTAATTCAGGTAAAGTTTTTCCTACTCCAAGCCGCCCCATTCTCCATCCATCCCAATAAGAGCATACTGCCCTCTTCAGTGTCTAAATTAAGGGTTATGTGTGTGTCAGTATCTCCAGTATACTTCTCTCAGAAGCCTCTCTCTTTTTGTCCACCCCGCTATGGAATTAAGCCATCTGCCAGAAGAGTCGCTTGTAAATAGTTTTCCAAGTTTCTGACCTGCCATGGTAAATTATGCTTCCTTCTATCTGTGCTAAACTTACCTGCTCCAGGTTCAAAAGCAACCCTCTCCTCCCAGTAGCTCGGGATCTGGCATCCAGGATCTGGCGTCGGGATCTGGCATCACACCTGCCTTCTCCACACCGGCCACGGTTTTCAGTTGAAATATGTCACCTCTTTGCATTCTGGGCTGAAGAATCCCAGTGCTTTTACCACCTGCCCTCGTACCGCTTCACGTCTCCCTGCTCAAGGCTTCCTCAGCCCCACTGTGTTTCCTCGAAGCAAGGAACCAGAGCCACGTGCAGGGTCCCAGATACACAGGCCCCCAGCATGGCAGAGGGCCCCATGAAAAGATCTATACCTATTCTCAGGTCTCCTTCCTAGATGATGGAGCCCAAATCATTTCCCTTTATGCTTATAAATAAATTCTCAGATGTATCAATCTACATATGCCACTTTGGTCTATACTAACCCTGATTCATAAGCAGTTTTTTTTTTTTTTTTTTTTTTTTTAAAATTCTCCCTTTTGGTTTGACTATTCAGAAGTACATAAAGTCCATGAACTTGGAGATTCTGCACTCTAACCAACTGATGCAATGGCAACAACCTTTTTTAAGGTTTCCAGCTACTGGCATCTGAGTTAATTTCCCTCCCTTCTAAAACCCAGAGAGGAGAAACCATTATCAGGATTTTGGAGCCCAGAAAGCAAATAAACAAGTGACAACAGACTATGTACTCAAGAATTCCAAGGCTGAAGCTGGCAGTGTGAAAACCTGAGAACCCAGTTTATACAAAGGAACTGACACCAGACGCCTCTGGAAGTGGGGGAGGGAGACTGCAGTAAGGGTTAGTTGAAGGCTGTTTGAGAAGCTCTCCTGACTCCATACCCCTAGGCAACTGCCCACCTCCCATAAGTCTGGATGTTTATTCTCTAAAGAAGACCAAACAGAGGGTCTCAGGCCTAAGGGACACAAGGCACCAAGCGTAGTTGAGGGCAGAGCTACCAATCCCCAAACTGAGGGATCAAGTGAACATATGCCTACTGAATGGTGAGACTGCCAGCCTTCTTCCCCTTGAGCTCCCAGAAAGCAGGTAGCCAAAACTTTATTCTCTGGAAAACAGACTGCGCTGTGGTCTGAATGTCTGTGTCCCACAAAATTCCTATGTTGAAATCCTAATGCCCAATATGATGGTATTAGAAGGTAGAGCCTTTGGGAAGTGCTTAGGTCACGAGGGTATAACCCTCGTGAATGGGATTAATGCTCTTATAAAAGAGACCCCACGTGCTCCCTAGCTCCTTTCATCATGTGATGACACAGCAAGAAGATGGCAGTCTGCAACCTGGAACAGGGCCTTCGCCAGAACCCAACCACGCTGGCACCCTGATCTTAGACTTCCCTGCCTCTAGAACTGTGACAAATTCCTGTTGTTTATAAGCCACCCAACTGTAGTATTTTGTTACAGCAGCCTGAATGGACTCAGATAGATGGGAAGAATTTTCTCTGGGAAACTTGACCAGTGTGTAGGAAAAGACCTGAAGATATTGGCATTTGGGCCACCCAGCAAACAGCTCGGCCTGATCACCATACCGTGAAGTGCACTATAGGCTCAAGCACAGAGCTTTCATCTTATTTTAGTCTCCTACTCTTCAACATTATTACACAACCAAAGGTCATCAGGAAGAAACCGCTAACACAAATATTAGAGACCAAAACAAACAAAGAACACAAATTGGAAGACATAGATTATTTATGGAGAAGAAAACTCAAGAAACGAAAAACACTATCATTAATATCCTCAAAGAAGTAAGGAAAGATACAGTCTCCACAAAACACAAACAGTATACTATTAAAAAATAGCTTTATAGGGTTTTTAAAATCTGTGCTGGAACAACATGTGCTGGCTTTAGAGATGTGAGAAGAATCATTCTATTTTGAGTTTAATAAAAATAGAAAAATTCATTTATAAAACTAAAAACAGGGCTTCCCTGGTGGTGCAGTGGTTGAGGGTCCACCTGCCGATGCAGAAGACACGGGTTCGTGCCCCGGTCCGGGATGATCCCACATGCCGCGGAGCGGCTGGGCCCGTGAGCCGTGGCCACTGAGCCTGCGCGTCCGGGGCCTGTGCTCCGCAACGGGAGAGGCCACAACAGTGAGAGGCCCG